AATAAATTTAACAAACGTTTATTAGTTGAAAACCAACATGTCTATACATAAAAGGTTACACATTTGGTACAGAAAATACATAAACAATGATTCTGTTCCCATTTAATTGTCGATTTAGCGTCTTGGAGACACATATTAGTCCAGTCCGTTCCATTAAACAAAACAAAATAGACACCAGGTATTATATTGAAAGTAAACAGTAGTTCAAGCAGGTGTCCATTTGTATAAAACATTATCTTGTTCAAGTTTTTCTTAGTAATTGGAAAAGCAAGTGAATTATCAACTAAGGTGAAGTTTCTATCGATGGGCCGGCTTCTTCATTGTGAGCCACCTCCATTATTTTCTAATTATTGATAGTAGGCACTACCTGTTGACTGCTTAGCATACTACATGAAGCTTGAACAAACCGCCTTCTTGATTGGGAATTGATCCATACTCAAACAAGGTCTCTTTACAAGAAAATAAGATTTTTGTACTTTTCTAATTTCTAATTTATCAATGTAAAGAAAATATAAATATCAGTAAGACGTTAATACTGTTTTAGTTGTTACTTATAACATTTAGAACTGTGTTCAGTCAGCATTATTTTTCTGTATTAACTATGGCTATATGCTTTGTTATAACTGAAATCACGGACGTATTAACATGCCGACAACAAGTTCCCTTCGATGAGCCAGCCTGCGATGCTATGAATGGGCTGCTGGCGCAACCCATGGCAACCATATCACGGCTAATATTTTATTTTGAAATTTTTTCAAGATGAAGTATAAAATGTCTCTATATCTGATTTAATAAAGAGCTCTCAGGAGCAATTAAATATATAATTATATAATAATCTCATTTTCTTTGTTATAAAAATAATTAAAAGACAATCTGTTTTTAATCTAAACCGGAATTTCCCTAATTCATGTATAAAATGATTATTTTATTGAAATTATCGTAATGATTTTCATTAACCTACATGATAAATTATTTTTTTCCTTTTAGTTCATTGATATTTAGTAAGTTTTGAATAAGAGCTTTTTTATTTGTTTTATATTCGTCTTTTTTTGTTCAATGACACGTTATCAATCAACTATGCAATTGAAAAGTCGTCTTTTAACAAAAAGTATTCACACTTTTACTTCTAACAATTCTTTACATCAAATAATGGAAATTTTCAGCGACTTCGCAACAACAGTAAAAAATTTCGTTTTATCTTTTAAAAACTTCATTTTAAAGATCTGTCCCGCTCTCTATGATGATATAAACACTAAATGACTGAGAATTTTCGTTTGTTTGTTAAATGAAGGATATGTGCAAAAATCCCTTTCGATATTAAATTGTGTAAAACTGTTAATTGAATTTTTAAAAAAATAGGTTCATCCCATGGTATTTTTGTTTATACTATATTTTTTACTAATTCAAAATAGTTTTGAAAACATTACTCTTATCTATCAGACTATTTTGATCAACAATTTTTGCACTTTTTTTAATAACATTTCAAAATTTCCAATATTTATAACAGATAAATTTTTGAGTTTCTAAAAATATTATAAAAGATAATATCATGTACCCGAATAAAATTAAATAAATCAATTTTAAAATAAAATGCTGAGAAAAATGCATATAAACTTATGAAATAGGGAAAACTAAAAATCACGCAGTATATTTCTTTATGACGCCTAACTTCGAAACTATTTTTCTCATCATTGCCAAAAAAAGATGCAATTCTGTGTCACATTTTAGCATTTTTTAATGGAAAAAATCGCTTAGTTAATATCTTTTTACCATTCGTTTTTTTAAACGGACAAAGAATTTGTTTTATAATCTGTGAAATATTCAGAATTTTGCATTTTATATACTGCAATTTTAAAATCATAAAAGTGAAATACTTGAGAAAAAAGCCAACAATTTACAAAAATTATATTAAAATTATGATTCAAATTTCATTTAAAAGTTGGGTGAGCTTTATCTTTTTATTTTTAACTAATAGTTCATTGTAAGTTGAAAAGTCTTTCCTATTACTCTCTTTTGACCACAGCTTTTCATGCCAGAATGTAAATGAGATAGCGAGAGTTTATTCAGATTAAAGTAGAATGAAGCGCTATTTAAGCAATAATTTTGGAAGTTACTTTTAGAATATTTCTGCTTATTCTAGACCACGTTGTGCTGTGATTATTAGCGACTTGCGTTAGCAGCGTTAAGTGTTCTAGCCATTCAGCTTGTCTCAGCCGGTTTACTATAGACCAGAGTTCTTCCTGCGCGTTAAAGTATTCTGTGATCCGTTAGGCTAATCTACTACACCTTGAAATTTAGTATTTTGTTACGTTATTCTGTTAAGCCAGAAGTACGTGGCTTCTTGCAACCCAAATTGGGTCATCGTTAATTTTATGTTTGAATAAAAGGGTCTTATACACCCTTCTTCTGATTTCTGTTTTTTTTCACAAGACTAGAAGATAATTCTTCAAGTGTCCATTTCAAAGTTTATGTTTCCAAAGATACATGGACCTTACAGTTGTGTTTCGTTCGACTGGGTAAACAGTAAATTTCTAAGATTTCTAGTTTGTTCGCTATATGAAGATATGTGTAAAAAATCATATACGCACTGAATTCAAAAACCTCAAAATTGGATTTATAAAACTTCGCTTCACCACATTGCACTGTCATCCACAAATATTGTGAACATAAGTTGAGCTTGATAGTATATTAGGAAGTAGGACAAGAATCGGTGACGAACTTTCAACCGTACAAACAAGCACCATATGTGTACTAAAAGCGTATAATTATGAAAATATTGAGAATGTAAAAATATACTAACATCAAAATTAGCCATTTGAAGCATGTTGGCAGAAATTTGAGAAATATTAAAGAAACCGTAAACAAATATTTGTTATCACTATGTATAAAGTTGAAGTTTTCGTAAAAACAGCAAACATACTGCAGAGTGATATTAATTTTTCTTAATGAAAGTATTGTAAACCTATCGCATAAACGAAATACCAAGCCAGATATGAAAATGTTCTTGATTTGATTAGCGAAACTCCTAATTCTAGAAGTACAAAAAATTCAGCATTAGTTTGTAAAATCAAAGCGAAAGTTACAAATGAATGAAATAGCAAGTTACTATGCAGTCCTCTTCAGAGTAAAGAGCATGTCACTTAAATATTAATTCAGTGTTTTCTACTTCCTGAAAGTAAAATAAGTATGAAACCATAAACGAATTTCATAGTTATAATTTAACCTTTGACTTTTCAAAAGAACGTATACTTACAAATCAATGTCATTATCATTCATACCTTATTAAATCACGACCTTCATAGATAGTAGTCATACGAGATTCCATTCTCCGCTTCTTAGTATGTGTTGCAAATTCATCGTAAATGTGCTCCGAATTCCAAGTAGATGTACTATATGGCTGCTTGTTAAAGTATTCTTAACAATTTTAATCTCAAAGATTTTGAGTTAACAAACAGAAATTCAAGATTTAGTGTAAATACAAAAGAAGTATTTCTCCTTATTTTTATTGTTTTATGTTTTTTTATTTACGTCAGCTACAGTACTACCACTACTAAATTTTAGAATTATTTTAACTCCCTTGTTATTGGCACTTATAATGAAGCTTATTTAAATATTTTTCGATAAAATCAATATATTCCTGTTATATAACTGGATAACCGAATAACTTATGTACTTATATTCAGAAATATGCCAGGCGATCAACTACAAATATATGAATGCAAAACTCTTCTTCGATTCGCGTTCGGCTATTTTTCACTCATTTAACTTAATTAAATAATACTTTTTATAATTTAGAAAGCGGGTAAATAAAATGCCAAACAAAGTAATTACGAAGTATGTGTTATTCTAATCTAAAGTCGGTAGTATGATAACAGACAGTTTGACAGAAGCGAAAGGAAATAACAGAATGAACAAGAGTAAAGGAAGTAATCTGTTGATATAAACGAAAAGTGAATGTTCTTCACTTAACTCTTTGTGTTGCAGGGAATCCAATGTAAAATAAGAGCGCTTATGTAGAAGAATTTTTTTTAATTAGAGACTGTATGATAGTACTTATTATGGTGAATAAAAGCTGGTCAAAGAAAAGACAAAATTAATTTTTATTTTTTACTTTTGTTCTTTTAAAAGGAAAGCTGTTATCTTACAGTAAAAGGTTTTCAACTTCAACTTCCTTTATGCTAAATCATACTTTATTTTGGCAAATTTTTACTTCCTTTTAGTTCAACATTGATGAATACTTAGTCCTTTCAATGAATTCTTGCATTCAATGATATTCGATGAATCTTCCGAAAGTGTGATTTAGTATAAAGGCTTTCTTAACAAAATGCTCAAACACAACCTTCGTCATCTCGGTTCAAATGAGGTTTACATTTATCATTGTTTTCATACATGGTTCAAATGCAAGATGTAAATTCAGAAAAGAATACCACTATTTATTATAAAGTTCAGTTAGATATCAACTAACTAAAATAAATTTTATAATTTAGTATTAAATTGGAATTATGTTCTATTAGCGAATATTTATTAACTTAAGCTTATTGTCATTGGCAAGAAAGGAAACCAAGAAAGCTTGAAAGTGAACCGCATTATTAAATCTTTAAATTATTAATATTATTACTTCATTTTAAATCAAAATTTTCTTTACTAAAACAAAAATATTTTTAATTGCTTGGCATTTGATTTTAATATTTCAAATTTTTACCGCGATTTCAAAGTTATATTATTTTACAGAAATAACAAATTACTATAAATTTTTAAAAGAAAGAGTAGTAATTGCTTAAGTAAAAAATTACTAAACAATTAACTTGTTCAAATCGTTTATATTTTTCCACTTGATTCCATAGATTTATAAATTATATAAATAAATATTTGTACTTAAAACTATGTTTCTGTAAAGTGATCAAAATCTATGTGAATGAATCTGAATGTAAACTGTATAAGAATATAATCTATTTTATAAGTGTGTTAAAGTTTCTAATGAATGTATATTTTTCTTGCAGATTTAGTATTAACACAAACATTACAAAACATCTGACAGTGTATATAATTAAAGAATTCACAGCAAAAATGCCATCAGGTAAACCCGATAACTCTCATCTAGTGTACAATCCTCGCAACGATCCCAATGAAGTACAGATGGGAAAACTCAAGCCTATAATTGATAAAAAATACGACGAAAAACTAGAATACCTTCCGTATGAAATGGGTTACCTGACGGAGGAGTTAAAGGAAATGGCAAAGAGAGAACTGGGAGAAACTGAAGAGAGAAAAGAAGCTTGTCTTAAAAAATTTCGTAAGCTTTTAGCAGGTGAGAAAATCCGTTTGTGGTTTTTATTTTTTATTTTTATTTTTTTTTTATTTTTTTTTTTTTTTTTTTTTTTTTTTTTTTTTCATTATCTGACATAAATGTAAGAACTGCTCTTTTTATGCTTTATAGGATTTAATAATTTAATTCTGTTTTGCTTTTAATAATTTGCATTCTCTGAAATGCGAATTTCAAGCGGTAAAATGCTTTTTCGACAACTTTTGTTTAAATGTATTCCAGCATACTGTAATGTTCACTATTCTGAATTTTCTTGGATTCTAAAAACGTGGCTAGATATAAGATAAGGAAATGTAACCCCTCCATAAAATTTGCTTAATTTCCTTTATTTTAAAACTGATTCATTTCATTTGCGAAATGGCATTAAAAACATCATATTCATAGGATGCGTAATTATTTAGTTTGAGAAATATGAAAACATGTACGCTTAGTTATGATGATGCACAATTAATCACGTTAACAATTAGGCAGGAAAGGAAACTATTTTAAACCAAAATTGACTATTAGAATACAAAAGATCATTTTAGTATACTAAAACTTCCGTTTCAAAACATAGTTTTCCTTGACGCAGGTCTTTCAGAGAAATATTTAGATTTTAATGAAACAGAAAGTCATATATCATGTTTTACAACAAGTATAAACAGTTATCTTAAAATGTTGAAAGTTCACGATGAGTTTGAGTTTGAGTTTGAGTTTCACGATGAGTTTGAGTTTCGCGATGAGTTTGAGTTCAATTTCCCGCTGTGCAAATAAAATAAAAATCTAACGTAAATATAAAATGCTTTTATTAATTTTAGTTTTTGATTCTGCCGATCCTTCTTGACGAATGATGAAATTCTGAAAGTTCAGTTAGATATCAACATTGTGCTCAGTTCAGTTATTGAAAGTTCAGTTAGATTGTGCTTAATATTTATTTATAAAATTTCAAGTCTGAAGAAAGAACGTTTTAAATTAATAATTATATTATCGAAAAACTTTTATTGTTTTCTTATTGTTCTAGAAAGGAGATCAAAATATTTCAAAACGTTGTAATCTTTTCTGAAACTGTAAGTTTCCCACTTAGCAACACTTTCAAATGCATAAGCAACACTTTCAAAAGATATGAACATAATTGGTAATTAGCGAAGATATTTTAATGAAAAATTTCTTAAAATCATGCAAATATTTATTATTTGAATTCTCTACTTTCCATTAATTAACTATAATGCATACGTGTCGAAAGATATTGATGTTTACATTGTCAAAAGTAATAAAAGAAAATCAATTCATGAAATTTTCCCGAAATCAATTCCCTCGATTAAAATATAATTCAATACATATTTTCATGCTTAGTGCGATTTCATACGATATTTCTCCTCAACCCTTTCAAGCAAAATCTTGAAAATTAAATTAATTATTCATAAGGCATTTGAATAACTCTTCTTTTCCACAAATCAAGAAAACTAAACACTGACTGAGAAACTTATGAATTACAAAAAGGTGCTTTATGTTAATTATGTAAAATCGAATGAAAAGTAATTGGTTGGAAGGTCAAAGTCAATGTTCTCATATTGTGTAATAAGATTTACCGAAATATCCAAATTTTTGCTGCCGTTCTTCAGCATCGTGGGAAAAGGAGTGCAAAGAAGTGCTTAAACATATAATTTCATAAATTGTTCAAGCAGTTAGGTACAATTTTCGCATTTGAGCAGTCGCATTGGAATATGTCATAAAAAGGGCATATGAAGGATTGTGAGAAATGGTTTGAGACTGGGAGAATGGAAGAAGGGCAAACACTAACATAGGTCTAAACTAGTCCAACGCATCGTGTTAGAAAATGGGAAACGGTTTAAATGTAACGATGTAAGGATAAAAGCAGATCAAAGTCGACGACAGATTCTCAGGACATGATGAAAGAAAAAGAGAACGAACGGAGATGAGCGCCCAGATAACAAGGATGATGGTCTTGTGGTGTGGTGTATTTAATTATGGCAAAGCACACTAGGGCTATCTGCCTAAGAGGAGGGATGCCTTTCGTGGAGGACTTTCTAAGGGAAACTGGCTCTTATACACGTTACACATGGGATAAACCACGAAAACGCCCATGCAGCCAGCCCGTTCGGGGGATTCGAACCTTGGACCGAACTACCAGTTTTCAGCGACTTTACCGCTCGGCCGCTGGTGGGCCCCCAAATAACAAGGGAGTTCGCTGCACTTATAGGCAGCGCCTATCCAGGTTTACCGTGAGTAACGCCGCCCAACCGGTGTAGTGGCTAGTGTCGCTGACTGCCGTGCCGAAGGGCCTGGGTTCTAATCCCGGAGAAAGCATGGTGTTTGCAAATGTATAGTGTCGGTGAGGCATGGCGGCACTCTATGCAGCGAGCCGAAAGTCCTCTCCTGTGATTTGGTGGTAGGGGAGAGGGGTGAGCTACCCCCTTGGGGAGCTCTCCATCAAAATTGTGGGGAGCAGAGCGGAGCTAAATCGCACTGTCACCTGTATGGTGCTCAAGACTGTTGCCAACGACAGGAATATCTTGCGCTCATTACTACGAGGAATTCGTGGGCTTGGGCTGATGTTACTATCAGGCAAGTGAGCATAAGTAACAACAACAACAGTGAGTAACAGGTTGCATAAATGAGGCTGTATGCAAAGAAATGAGCTATGTCCAGTACTCTACGAATGAAAAATGCACTTGTTTACATTGTAGTAAAGATCATCGTGCGTGGAGACTCGAACTGAGCTCTGTTTATTTATAAGTCTCGTTTATACTCGTATTTGGAGAGTGATCCAGACATATTACAATTCAGAAGGGAGGAAAACATATGCATTAAGGCCTCACTAATTTGAATGGCCTCACTAACCTACACATTTTTACCAGTGCAACTATGGATTCTGAAATATACAGATATTGGATGACTAAAACTTTTTATCATTATGTCAAGTTGTTTAGGAGTGCAATCGATAACTTATTCTTAAACTACAACAGTTTTCTCGCCCCCATAATGCTGCATTAGTGTTCTTGAGGGCGAAGGATGTTTTGACTTGCATTTTCTCCTGATCTAAATCCGAAACAGCATGAGAAGAACGCACTTGGACCCCAACTAGCCACACTGCAGTTCTTCCATAGCACTCTCTAGGACCTACAGAGCGTTATTCATCGTTAATATACATTGCTATCACAGGAACTACTGGACAATCTAATACGCAGCATGGGAAATCTGTATAAAACTTGCATTTAGATCAAGAGAATTATGTTAAATTTTCTAAGCATCTGTAAAACATTTAACACCACCCTTTCCCTACCCCACTTTATATCACATTTCTTATTAAAATTTATTTTTTACAGGAACAGGCGATTCTGCATTTTTAATATATGACAAAGATGATAACTATTTTCATGATTGACAAACCGCATCAAATGATTGTAATATTTTGATTTAGGAAATCTTTTACCTTAGAAACCTGTAACTTTAAAAAAACTCAGTGGTGCAAACAGCCCTAATGGGCCAAGTCCTGCAGTGCCACGAGATCTGCCTTCTTGACCGTGGGCCCCGGGGTGCAAAAGCATATGCCCTGAACAAGTGGTCAGCTTGTCGCAGGACCACCAGTGTTTAGTCCCCAAGCGAACCTGGTACTCATTTGATCGATCCAAGGGATGTAAATCAAAGGATGAAAGGCTGAGTCGACCTTGCCCAGCCCGGGATTCGAACTCCGGACCTGTGGTGCTGCTGCGCGATGCGCTAGCCACTGTGCCACCAGGCCTCCCTATAACTATAGGTGCATCTTAAACTATCGGGTATTATGCTTTCCTACATAATATTTTAACAACTGTAACCCAAATCACTGTAATAATTTCAGAATTTTTCATAGCAAATCACAGAATGTAAATCAACTGAAAATATGCAAACTTCAAAACAAAAATAATAGACGAAAAAGAATATAAAACTTAGACGCATTTTTGCAACCATTTTAGATTTTTGAAAACAAGACTGCGCTCCAATGAAATTTCATACGACTAACTCTTTTTAAACTTCGCAGAAAACGAAGTAAGTATTCTCGAATTCCGAGGAAATTTAACGAAATATAAATAATTCTACCATAGCTTCTACTAGCAGGATACCGTAGCATTATAAAATATATTTTTTAGAAATTACCTAAATCACACTTTAGGCAGAGAATAAATTTTTTCTGTAAAAATCAAGATTTTAGCATACGTTTTGAATTTATTTTTGTATTAAACTATGGAAGCTTTTGTTATATTTTAATAAATATTTCGCTTATCATTATTTATTAGAAACTTACTGGTTTGTTGGAAAGATGTTTATTATTTATATGATATGCTTTTTACTATATTTCGTTTAAAAAAACGGACTTAACCCCAAAATGGAACACTCTTGGCTATGAATGCCGCATCATAACCCATCTATTTAATTGCGGGTTTTCTTTATTTCCGCTATATAACAGCACCCAAAACACTATTTCAGGCCGCTGTTTACTCTTTGGTAAATTCATTTTTCTCTTTTGCTTCTAAAGGGAACAGTGAAAATGTGTAAAATTCTACAATGCCAGGCGTTATCTCAAAGACGGTCTTTGAGTTCCCAAGGAACCCTCTAAAAGTAAAGCATATATCATTGTTTCGTAACAACAAGAGGTCACCAGTGTCATCTAGGAAACGAATCAACCCACTGCTTGCAACAAAACGCGGAACTGGTGTCAAAGGTGTGCCGAAACCAGCTGAATAGAGTGGGAAATTTATATAGGGAACTAAGCGTAAATAATGGCAACGATGCGTTGAATACTGATTGTTCTGATAAACGCTTTTGAAGTCAATGAGTTCTGAGTTAATCAACAGTACTAAGTACCTGACAAAAGTGCAATAACACGCGTATTTCTTTAAGCAGTATTTGTGACATTGTACCTCAAATTTAAAAGCAAATGTGGAATCAAGTGTTGATACACACGCGATTTCTCTTAATAAGGGTGTTTTTTTAGGACAAGATTCTTC